CAAACAAATTGTTTTATATTGTGTAAAGTTTTAAAGTGTCAGTGTACCTCTGTCAAAACATTTTTATTTTATACTTTGGTTTTATTACTACCCTGATGGTTTTTTCCTCTGAAGTTTTTTTTTTTTTTTTTTTAATATTTTTCAGGAAGCGATCCGACTCTTATCTTGAGCCGTTTTTATTTTTATCTAATTTACTTTGGTGGCATTTTAATAACTATTTTGAATCACTTCACAGGGAAGACTTAGTGCAGCACAGTCTCCAGTCATCCGTCGTTTTTCTATAGCACTTCTGCTCATAAGTATTTTCATCCCTGCTCTCGATCCTGTTTCTTCCTCTTCTTCCACTTCTCTCGCTGCATGAGTTTTTCCATTTTCCTCCTTAAGCCTTATGGTGTGTTATTTTCTCTTCAATCTTCTCTTCTGTTCTTTCTTGCCCTTTCTACCTTTGCTCCTTGGAGACTCTGTGCTGCACCAGCGTAAGTAACACAGGACTGCCCCGCTGTACACTCCTTTCTCTCCCGTTTTTGTCTGACTTTATTTTTCACCTCTCTTCAATGTGCTTGCTTGCTGGACAGTCCTCTGTGGCTTCCAAGCCGCTCTGTTTCATCTGCTTAAGAATCTGTACAGAAAATGCACTTTATTTGACTAACGGTACTTTGTTCTTCTTATCATCTTGTTGAATAATGGATTTCATAAACCTCTGCACTATTTTTTTATTTATTTTTTTGTCACGCTGCTCTGTTCCGCTTCATAAAGTGCACCGTTTGTCGTCGTCAGTATGTGAATGTGGGTCAGAATCAAAATGGGATGCATTAAGAAGTCACTATGAACAGAGTGCATGTTATGATCCAGAGATATATCCCAGTTCAGTTATTCCAATGTTATCCAGTTGTTAGTGTTTTAAGATTTTACACACTGTGAAATTTCAAACTTTTGTTGGTATTTTTGAAGTTATGCTTGTTTTTTTTTTTTTTTTTATAATACCTGCAAAACTGCTCAGAGTTTTTGGGAGGAATGTTTTGCAAACATTATAATATTCTGACCTCTTTCAGTCATACAAATAAAAGACCGAATGTTACAACACACTGTCACGCAGTCTGCAAAGTAAATGAAAGTTCATGATGACGTGTTTGTAGCTCCGGGTTTTGGTGGATGATAATACATGCTTTTGTTGTTTTTTGGTTTATTTTTGATTTGCACAAACTCAGTGAACTTAATGGACTTCCACATGCATTGTACTAGAAATGCTTGCTTGTTAAAAACCACGACTCCCCCACCCCCCTGCAGTTGAGATGTCTGAATAATTTCTGCTGTTCTCTTCAGATGACTCCTAAGTCGAAAAGGAAAAGCATTCACAGCAGAATGCTGCGACCCGTATCTCGTGCCTTTGGTAAGTTGTTTTGTTCTCAATTTAATGTATCAATAACATTTTTTGAAATAAGCTTAGACACAGAGCTGGTGCTGCCAATAGCTACAAATCCCATAATGAGCTTATTTTAACTTCCGAGCAGTCCTTCTCTTGCTCCTGAATGTTTTATTTGTTCCAATTTTTTGGCGCGTGAGCTTATTAAAGTTAATGGAACGACGAATGTGTCCATGTTTTGAGAATCTTATCAAAATCCAAACCTGCAGAGATGGAGTTTGATCTCGACAAGGCCCTGGAGGATGTTCCCATCTACATGGAAGACGCCTCCACTTCGTCCCAAACTCCTCCCACTCCATCTGTGGGTGGGCCCAAAGCGGAGCAGCGTCCGTCCGGAGCGATCGCAGAGCTGCCGTCTGAGGAAGAGAAGAAACTGCAGCATTTCACCAAACTACGGCCGCGAAGGAACAAAAAGATGCATTCTAGTAAAGTAGCTGTAAGTAAAACATTGCTTCTCTATTGCGACTTAACTACCAGTCAAAAGTTAAGTCGTTGTCAATAATTTAAGTTTTTGGACTTGCAAGTGCTGAAATAAACAGGCAAAGAGGAGATCGTTGATACTGGATTTTTCTTTGTTTTGTTTTTTTGTCTTTCAGCAAATTAACAACACTCCATCTCAAGAAGGGGGCGAACAAAATGGTCTCATGGGCAGAGTGGATGAAGGAGTGGATGAATTTTTTTCAAAGAAAGTCACCAAGATGGATTCAAAGTGAGAAACTACTGAAAAAGAAAATGACAGATAAAATAGTCCAAATAAGCTCATTTCCATTTTGTTAAACGTGAACATATTCTTATATTGCATTTGGTCATCTGTTTAGTTTTGACTTTAACATGCTATGCTTCCTCTACTGCCTCCTTTAAGACGGTCTTTGAAGAGCTCAGAATCTCAAGATGGAGAAAAGAAGAAGAGTAAAGGAGGATTTCTGAATCTCATCAAGCGATCCTCCAAATCCGATAAGTCTGATAAGTCTGACAAATCAGATAAGTCAGAGAAAAGTCAAGCAGCTCCAACATCCTGTGGTGCGCCCCCAGCCTCTGCTGCAGCCTCTGCGATCCCAGAGGAGCCCTCCTCTCCAAAGGTGGCAGTCAGGAGCCCACCTCCTGAACCAAAGTCGAGGTACAGCTAACCCATGATCATGCCTAACGTACGCCTCAGTTTCAACTCCTCTGACGGCGTCTGTCTCCAATCCAGAGACTCCTCCACCCGCTCACAGCCCACAGACTACAGCAGCAGCTCCGACCGGTCCGAAGAACTGAGGACTCCGGACTCCATAGATGAACCCTGGGAGGGTTCGGACGGCAGGGGAAGTCCTCAAGGCGGGAAGAGGTACACTGGAGTGCAGATGATGGGAAGTGGCCTCTTGGCAGAGATGAAAGCAAAACATGAGAGGAGAGCATACAAGGTGAGTAACGTCAGGTGGAACAAAAATCATGTGGTAGATTAGGGAATAACAAAACCGTCCATTCGCTTTCTACAAGGAATTTTTTCTATACACTCTAGTTTGAACACCTGGAGAACATAAAAATGACTAGAAATCTGGGTCTGGAAAACTTTGATCTCAGCATTGCTCTATGTGACACAACACTCTTGACTTCAATCAGAACCTTTGAATAAAATGAATGTCTAATCCAATTGTTGTCAGCAAAATTACACTAATTGTATATTTTTCTTTGACTTTACATTTGGGCAGGACATTTTTTCCGCCCCGATGATTTATTTATTCTCAGCAGATTGTCCCAATGTAATTCCCTGCATGTGCTTCACATTTGCAACATTAGTATTTTTGGGCTGCAGATAAATAGTCCTAGAGCTGCTCCAACCCTCTGCTTGTTCTAGCAGGTTTCCAGGTATGTGCGCAGGTGAAATGGGGGATCACTGTTTTCTCAAAGCAGGTCGTAGAAAGCAGGAGCTGCATCCTCGGTGTTTCACGGCGTCGGTCATTTATCCTCTGGGATGTAGCTGTACATTTGTGTTCTTTTAGAAAACTGCATTAAAGAGAAATGGCTACATCTGTTTGTAACAGGCAGTGATTCCATATTTTGTCTTTGTGTGTCTTGTAGTCTTCCAGCCCTGACAGGCCTGACAGCAATGCAGCAGGTAAGATACAAGGGGAGAAATTTATGATTAAAAATTAGCAAAGGATAAAATGAGGCAACGTTCAGAAAAAACTTTTGCAAGGCACTGTACTTAGATAGTTATTGGTGGTCATTTCAAAGAGTTATTTTATCCATTTGTATTTGTTGACAGCCAAGTCCCAATCCTCAACTACTGAAAGCAAGACTTCCAGTTGTCCCACTAACAAAGCCAATGCTGCTGCTGCAGAAAAGTCCTCGCCCCGTAGTGAAGCCAAGTCCGAACCTTCCGCTCGCCTCAGAGCCACGTCTTCCTCAACGTCCCCTGCAGGACCAGTAAACCCTAAGCCACCAGTGCCACAAGGAGCAAAGCCAGCCCTGGCTGCACGGCCCACCATCCCCCAGAAGCCGAGGGCCAGCAGCGGCAGGAGCATAGGTATGCTGCGCAGTCTGCACAAGCTGTCTGCAGCCTTTTTGAATCACTTTTTAAAAACAGCCAAATTTTACAAAGTTATATTTCATGCCTGCTTTTTCACATAGATGAGAGTTCAGCTTCCCCCATCGGCAGCGGCCATGCATCTCCCAAAATTCTGCCCTCCACCCTAAAAAGGACAATGTCAGAAAAAGACAAGGAGCCCATTCTGCAGACCGGAGTTTCCACCAACAAAGGCCCTCAGGAAGGTGAGTCACAAAATCAGCTGAAAACTTTCACTTTCAAACGCTAAATAATCTTGGCAGCCCCTTATGAACAGTTTTAACTGTGTTCATCTAACAGACTCAGTTCCTCTGTGACCTCATGTTGCTGCTCTGTGTCTAGCATGTGACAGATGTGACTGATGGATTCAGGCCAAGAGCGTTGCTGATTGAAACTGTATTTTATCTGCTGCGCATCATAAATCAGACATGCAAAGTATTTTTTTTTTTTTTTTACTGTCTCTTTTTGTATCGAGCAATCCTTAAAATCAGTTTTTACAGACTGTTCAACCTTGCATTCAAGTCGATAGTAAGAAAAAGAACGCCTTGCAAAAATAATTAGCAAATTTTAAACCTTGAAGCCTGATGACATTTTGTTGTTTCACTTGTTAACTAAAATCTAAAAGGTTTTTTTGTGAATGAAAGCTTTCGCTCTGTAAAACATGAATGAAGCAGATCAGAATATAGATCATGTACTGAGGTACACACAATTGTTGACAGTTCTTTTTAGTTGGAAAACACAAATGACTATAAGATTTCAATTACTGCATTTATTTGTTTAACAAAGACCAACATTAAAGAGAGATGTGTTTCGGTTTCTTTCAATCGACCACAGTGACGGGAAGAAACATCAAATTTCAATCCTTGATTTTTTTCTCCCATTTTCTCCTCTTGTCTTTTACTAAAGAATAGAGTCGAGTTTATGACATGGTAAATAAATCTCCTGAGGATAGGTCATAGAAATATGGCAAAATATCTATTTAAATTTATGTGCTTTTGGCTTATTTTTGTTTTCTTTTCCATTTGTTCCAGTTACATTATTAATGTTGGTTTATTGTGTCTCTTGTTTTCAGTGAAGTCGGCGTCAGACGCTGCTCAGAGATCCAGCCCTCGCTGCACCAACGCTGATGACCCAGGCTCCTTCAAAACCAAGGACAACTGTGCAAACACAGACAAAAGCAAAGCAACCAGAAAGAAGTCCTCGGAGTCGGGGGAAGAGGCAGACAAGGACTTTATACTAATATGAGCCACTCACCAAGTCTCAGGCTCCTTTATAGAAAACTAACTCCAAGGGAACAAATCTCCCATGGTTTATTTTTTACAATATGATTCATACCTGCAGGTCCAGTTTGACCACAAAGTACAAGTCAGACCTGGCAGGCATGAGAAGCAGAAACACAGTTTTGACCTTAATGCATGACGGACATGACCGCAGTGGACGCAGTACGCCTCCAAAGCAAAAAACCAAAACTGTGCTTCGTCTCGTGAGAGCTTCCTCGATCCAAACAGTATTTTTCTCCAGATGTGCTGTCAGCCTTGCTCATCCTCACTTTTCTTACTAACTCTTCAGGGTCTGAGAAGATGAATCATCAGGGTTTGGTCCTACTCACTTATATGTAAATAATAAATCACGAAGTGGAGTCAAAAGTTTGACATCTCTAAAAATAAAGCAGAGTGCTTTGAGAGAGCGCGATTACAACTAACTACTGTTTTCTACGGCTTGCTGCCACAGCTCGACACCCAGGGACCAAACGCAACAATGACCGCCATACCACTTCACTGTACTTGAAGCCAAAACATATTAGCAAATCAGGACCGTCTCTGATATATTTTTGATGGATTTTATAACACTGGTTTTTCTGTACGTGCTACTAAATAGGATTCAAAGTGACTGAAAATGTTATGCAATTTCGTTCTTTAGTTATTATTTACAGGAACAAGCAGGTTTCAGCTGAGTGTCTCAGCAAAGACACAGATCAGAGATGTGTGGTTTACTTTACAAGTGCAACAGCTGCAGACTGATGCACACTAAGCAACAGTGTGTAATACTCCATGTGAAAGCTGGAGTGGCCATATGATGTGTTACTGCTTTGAGAGGACTGTGGCACTCTTTGTCTTTACTGATAATCAGCGTATGGCTTCAGCACTGTTAAATAATTGCTCTTTTATATTCAAACACTGTGGAAAATTATTTTTTTTTTCTTAATCTGGGAGAGGAGCTTTGGGAATATAATTAAAGTGCAATAGAGAGCTATGTTTGGTTCTTTCTGGAGCATATCTGTAGTGTAATTTCTTAAAAGAAGTTTTGAACTTTTTTTTTTTGTTGCAAATAAGTAACATTGAGAATTTGAATTGCTCCTAGAAAGACTTGAATCCCATTCATTAAGACTATGCTAGTGCTCTACATGTCCAGTGACCACAAGGAAATCTCAATAGAAAAAGACAGTTCGAGGCAGTCTTAGTTCTTTGTGTATAAGCAAAAACACTGAAGGAACTCCAGCACACAAGTTTTTTTTTTCTTTTTTCTTCGTTTGAATAGCGAATTAAAAATGTTCTTAATTCTCCTTTATGCCTAGGAATTAAGAAATGCACAGAATAAGGGCGGTAACCGTACTGCTTGTTTAAAAACCAATAATGCACTGTGTGGGGTGAGAGTGAACTGTCGGTGGGTGTATATTAATTGTGTGGCATCAACTTGGCCGTCGGGCCGATTCTTCTGTTTTGGTTTTAAGTCGACATACCTGTTTCACACTGCTGTAGAGTTTGACTAATTATGAAAATGAATTTGTGTAATAATAAAAAAAAAAACTAGTGTAAATGAATGATGAACACTGTTTACAATTTAAATATTTGATTGTTTTCTCAAATATCTCCATGCCATGCAAACACAGTATGGGATGTATATTTCTGTTCTGCTATGTCATGATTGTGCTGGGGACACAGAAGAAACACGAAAACATAATTGTTGCTGGGATAAAAAACAAAACAAAGCAAAACAAAAACATAGATTAATGAAATATGATGCCAGACTTCCAGGACACATGGCTGTAGATTTTTTGTGTCAGCATTCTGCCACTGTGTGAAGGCCACTGCATGCAGCAAAGTGTACAGGACCCTTAGATATGCAGCTTGAATCAGATTTTATTCACTGTCCATGTCTGGGTAAATCTGGAAAATGGACAGAAAAAGTTTGATAAAATCCGAAATTTCAGAAAACGACAGAGTGACTTTTTCAGAGCGGCAATCTTTGATTTATCAAATTAAAACTTGCATTTTATTTAATTGAATGTTTTTTTGATTACTGGCAGAACCCAGGTCCAGCTTAAAACCTGACAAAAAGACTTGAAACAGGATCCAGAATCTAAATCCTACTTTGTCTAAGTTTCAAGAAAGTTTTTTCATTCCTATTAGTTTTGCTTGAAAATTTGCAAAAGAACAAAGAAAGTGTTATCCCAGATCACAAATTTTGCTTTAAATGACCAAGTTTCATTAGTAAGTGTTGGATTTGTTTGTGCAGTCTATTTTATTTTATTTTATTTTTTATTTCTTTTCACTTTAAAAGATTCAGATTGAAGTCGGGGCCAGAGCTCTGACCAGTGCACCTTTCCCACAATGTGGTGTCTGATGATGTCCTTTTATGGCGTTACAGTGGGGTTGACCTTTTCTTGTCACTCTTCACGGTTTACAGATATTATTTTTGGTGTATATAGTCAACCTGTCGTGGATGTACATGACTACAGAATCATCTTTTTTTTTTGTCTCTGAAGTGTCTCGAAAAATGACAGGATGCTTCTACATTGCATGTTGTTTAAATTTAATCCACTCGTATGTGGCTGTGTGCAGTTGCCATTGCTGAGCTTTTCTTTTTGGCGTAGCAGCAGCACAATGCAGCAGAGTTTCTGTTGCATTGCGATGGAGACTGAAAATAAGTTGAGAATTATTCAACATGAGCATCTGGTTCTTTCTGTTGCTGTTCAGTGTACAAACATGCCAGTACTCGGTAGCATTCGGTCTAGACGTGCCAGTCTGTGTGTGACTGCATGATGTGGCTGTGAGTTTTTCTGTATGTACATATGTGCTTTCTTACACGTAGGGCCCCGTGTGTTCATGTGTGTGTAACATAAGCACATATAACACATTCACACGCCTATGTGAAAACATGAAATCCTCTGTTGTTTTGGTACTAAGTGCACTACTATACTAAGGATCTGTTTGTAACTTATTTGAAATAAAATAAAGCGACTGAAGGCTGATGTTCTTTCTCGATTTGTATGTTTGCTGTCACTTTGAACATGTTTTAGAAAATGAAACAAACTTTACCTGGGACTACATGATAGAAAGTGAATGTTTGGTCATCTATTTAATTAAATTGATTCTTATTCTGTCATGACTTGGCATGTTTTAATCATCCTCGTGTTGGGAGTTTTTATGCAACTATTAATACTGATTAAAATTATTTTACATTCTGCTTCACGTTTTCATTGGTCTCATTTGGCACATTTCCAGTCAGCCTCTTACGAGAACTTATTTTTTGCTTTGCAGTGTAGCAAGACCTCCACTAGATGGCGCATGTGTTTTGCACTGTAAAATCCCACATTAACAGACTGACTTGGTGACATGCAGAAGAAGGTGTGTTTTTTTTTTTTTTTTTTTTTTTTTTTTTTTTTGGGGGAGAATTTGTAAAGAAAAAAGACGGGGGGGGGGGGGAGCAAAGTTT